TCAGACAAACTGGGGCTTAGAGGATGGGAGTGATAGACACCACGGCTGACTCGCAATTGTTTTAGGATCTGAGTCTTGTGCATTGTGACTTGGGTATGATGGAAATCAGAGGCCAACTTGGGCTCAAATCCCGCCACCGCCATTTTCCAGTTGTGTGCACTTGAGCAAGAAATCAACTTCTCTCCTTACCACAAAACTGAGTTAATAACAGTGACCACAGCAATGAGTTTTTATGAGAAGCAAATGAGATAATGTAGACACCATTTGTGTCCCTAGCTTTCTCACCCGTTAACAAGGCCTAATTACGGTACTTACCTCACAAGGCTTTTGAAAGAGTAACACGTTGCCCACGTTCCGTTCTCAGCAGTGTCTGGCACATAAAATATACTCAGTGAATGTTGGTGCCATTCCAGTCAGAAGCAATGCCTGTTCTTTCCTTTCTCCACCACTGGCCAGATATTCCAATTTTTTTTTTTCTTTGAGATGGAGTCTCACTGTCGCCCAGGCTGGAGTGCAGTGGTGTGATCTTGGCTCACTGCAACCTCCACCTCCCGGGTGCAAGCAGTTCTCCTGCCTCAGCCTCCTGAGTAGCTGGGACCACAGGCGCCCGCCACCACACTCAGCCAATTTTGGTATTTTTAGTAGAGATGGAGTTTCACCATGCTGGCCAGGATGGTCTCAAACCCCTGACCTCAAGTGATCCGCCCGCCTCAGCCTCCCAAAGTGCTGGGATTACAGGCATGAGCCACCGCGCCGGCCCAGATATTCCAGATTTATCTGAAGGCTCCTTAGAATCCACTGCATTTCACCATTCCAGTGGTCATGATAATCTGGTGTCGAGTTCTTATTTCTGAGAACTAGATCTTACAAGTGCGCTCACTGACTGAAACACCGTGAACGTTCTTTTTGGAAGAAAACAAAGATACAGTCAGAGGAGTCTCAAATAATTTAGCTTTTCCTCACTTCTTGTTTAAACTAGCTAGTGGATTTAGCATTTGGAGGTTCAGGCCCAGCCCCCAACCAAGGCACACCTGCTGAGAAGGCTTACAGCACAGATGTGCTGGTTGTATAGATTTCAGGGTTATCAAATAAGCAAACACTCACTGTAGTGTTTCAATCATGAGCCACAAACTACTTTATATCTTGTGATCCCTGGGCCAAAGAGGTTTCTCTGACATCTTGAGACAGTATATATATATATATATGTGTGTGTGTGTGTGTATATATATATGTGTGTGTGTGTGTGTATATATATATATAAATTTTTTTTTTTTTCTTGAGACAAGTTTCTGTTGCCCAGGCTGGAGTGCAGTGGCATGATCTCAGCTCACTGCAACTTCACCTCCCGCATCCAAGCGATTCTCCCACCTCAGCCTCCTGAGTAGCTGAGATCACAGGCATGCGCCACATGTGGCTAATTTTTATAGTTTTAGTAGAGACAGCGTTTCACCATGTTGGCCTGGCTGCTCTCAAACTCCTGACCTCAGGTGATCCACCTGCCTTGGCCTCCCAAAGTGTTAGGATTACAGGTATTAGCCAACGCGCCTGGTCTAATTATTACTATAAAATATTAATGATTTTAGCCAGGCGAGGTGGCGGGCGCCTGTAGTCCCAGCTACTCGGGAGGCTGAGGCAGGAGAATGGCGTGAACCTGGGAGGCAGAGCTTGCAGTGAGCTGAGATCCAGTCACTGCACTCCAGCCTGGGCGGCAGAGCGAGACTCCGTCTCAAAAAAAAAAAAAAAAAAAAATTAATGATTTATAATTAGCCAAAGAGAAGAGAAGGTAAGGGAAAACATACATCCTATTTTACAAATAATACATGAGGCCAGGCACAGTGGCTCACACCTGTAATCTCAATACTTTTGGGGGCTGAGGTGGGAGGATTACTTGAGGCCAGTGGTTTGAAACCAGTCTGGGTAACATGGTGACGTCACATCTCTACCATAATAAAACCAGCCAGGCATGGTAGTGTGGGCCTGTAGTCTCAGCTACTTAGGAGGCTACGGCAGGAAAATCACTTGAGCCCAGGAAGTCAAGGCTGCAGTGAGCCACGACTATACCACTACACTCTAGCAGGGCTGGGGTGGGGGGGAACTAAAACCCATTGGATCCAAAGTAAAAAAAAAAAAAAAAAAAGGAGGGGGGGTTAAATGAAAATGAAACTCTGCTGGCTTTGCAGGACTGGCCTGGCACCTGACCAGGAAAGGTTAAAAAAGGTCAAATGAGCCTCCCAGTGCATGGCCAGGAAGTGGTTTGTGGAGGAATGGTTTGGAGGACTTATCTGGCAATTTCTTATTCATTCAGCTGTGGCCAAACTGAAATCCTGTGAGCTGTACCACTGACACCTAGCGTATGGAAGCCCCAGAAGCTGAAATCCCCAGGAACATTCACGTTCTCCCAGGGAGGCGGGTGAGGAGGCCACGCAGAAAGACAAATAGACCAAGACATGTCAGAGAGACCAGTGCTCTAAGAAAATAACATGTTACGAGACCATGTTTTTCTATTTTTATAACATTTTATATAACTCATAAAACAGTGTTTGTATAAAAATTCACACAAAGTTGCTAGAGAGCATACAATTTCCAAAAATGTCCTGGGTTTTTGTTACATTCAGTTTCCTAAGGATGCACTCCAATCTATGGTAAAATGCAGACATGATGCGAGATTTCATTATCTTTGGTAAAACTATTCTCATTATTTTGCTCCTCACAGTATTAACTCTGATATCCACTTTGTGCAGGGTCTGCTATTACTAGGATGTCAGAAAAACATTAAGGCTGGATCTACGAGAGGCAAGCATTTCCAAACAGCAGTAACAGCCCCTCGGCCCCCACCCCCACTTCATATATCTGTACAGTCTATCTACACAGCCAGGCAGGGTGCGGGCTCACGACCTCCACTGGGGAGTCTTGAGATCCCTTCTCGACTGGGCAAGAAGCAAACATTTGGGGGGAACGTTGGAAACGGAGGCCATCTCTAAATGAACCCAGTGGTCATGCTGTGGTGTGGTCAGACCAGTGACTTTTACCAACTAAATAGCCAATCCATTCACCACTAAGTAGATCCCATCGGCTGGTTGGTTGATGATTGCTGCTGATGTGGTTCCCCCTCCCCACAAACATAAAAGGAAAGGAAGGTTTGGAGCCAACACTGAAAGGGGAGGGGCACGCTAGCGCAAATGACATCAGACACGACTTTATTCCCTGTCGAACATTTGTTGTCATGTAGACACAGCCAAGGTGAACTGAAGCAGGATGCAAACACTCAATACATTCATGACTATCTTCATACATTCTTTAAAAACTTAGAGAAACTGAGGAAGACTACCACCTACTGTGACTTACTAGTTCATTCAACATCAAAACGTGTCTGTGCTAATTTTTTAGTCCTTGGGATACAAGGCCAAGGAAAAAAAAAAAAATCCAAAATACAAACAACTAAAAACCAAAGAATTTAGAAGGGGCGGGTGGGGGAAGGAAAAGGATTGCCAACAGGTTTCATGGAACACATTAAATTTTGAAAAAATAAGTATTTTGTACTTCTATTGCTTCATGTAAAAAATTTAAAATAAAAAAATGCCCACTGGAGTCATCTGTATGGATGGAGAAGTGAGGACACCATACAGACAGGGCAAGGACCTGCGGGCGTTTCCTGGCCACATCCAGAGAGATGGGGAGGGTTCCCAGGTGTGTCCACTTCTCTTCACAGAAAGGGACTGTAAGATTCTGGGGGAAGATGCCCTACACATGAAATAGATTAAGAAAATCACTGAAATATGGTTTCTAAAAATTGAACATGCTCTGGGTTACAAAGAGACATATTTAATTCCTAGAACCTATTGATTTCTCTAACACGGGTAGATGGGAGTTTCAAAAAAATTATTAATAAATGATTGTGCTTCTAAAGTTGCAGGGTCAACATTCCACCCTCTAGAAAGCAGGGCAATTCATGGCTTGGAGTCCTCTTGTTTACATCCTAGAAACCAGAACAAATTCCATGGGACCTCCCCACTCCAGCGCCCAACAACCAGCGGTGGGTGGGGGAGACGGCGGGAGAGGGCCACAGCTGTCTTTGGGTAGGGTGCGTGTGTGTGCATGCTGTGTGCACGTGCTGGAGAGACTAAGGCATAGAGAAGGGCCCAAGCGAGGGGGGAAAGTGAGTCTCCTGGCTGCTCCAGTCCCTCCTTTCCAGGCACAAAGAAGTTGAACTTGTTATTCGTGTAGGCCCCCTTCATCTCACTTCAGCTTTTAGTAAGCAGTGCGTGTGTGCATGAGTAGCTGTGTGTGACAGAGAGTCATTCAGTCCCTGTGCCTTTCTAAATCTGTTTGCAGTCGCAACAGAAATAATCTGTAAATGACACTTAGGAGCACATTTACTAGTTAGATCAGCAACTTAACATTGCTTAAAATTCTGTATTTTAAAAAATGCTCCTGGTCAGGCCGGGCGCGATGGCTCAAGCCTGTAATCCCAGCACTTTGGGAGGCCGAGACGGGCGGATCACGAGGTCAGGAGATCGAGACCATCCTGGCTAACACGGTGAAACCCCGTCTCTACTAAAAAATACAAAAAACTAGCCGGGCGAGGTGGCGGGCGCCTGTAGTCCCAGCTACTCGGGAGGCTGAGACAGGAGAATGGCGTAAACCCGGGAGGCGGAGCTTGCAGTGAGCCGAGATCGCGCCACTGCACTCCAGCCTGGGTGACAGAGCCAGACTCCGTCTCAAAAAAAAAAAAAAAAAAAAAAAAAAAATGCTCCTGGTCACAGGCAAAATTATGTCATACAGCCAGTGGAACTGAAGTCCTTATCAGCTATCTCTGCATTTTAAAGTAGCAAAATATTAAGCCATCCCACAGGGGTTCTACGACTACCCTGTGTGATTTAATTAATTTTCCAGGACTCTGGTATGACGTATTGTTTGCATTTGACTGTTTCCTTTCCCTCTTAGGCATTTGGCCCCCAGAGTTAGGTAGGTAAAAGGATCATTTTAAAGGATTTTACCTGTCGGGGAACTTCCCAGTTGGTGCTCCTGGAGAGCATGCAGCTGGCCTGCAGGAGCCTGACATTCCCAGTCAGGAGGGAACGAAGACATGTGTCCCCCAAGGCAGGGGGTAGCCAGGTATAGGACAGCAGGACCTTCTAGAGAGTCCAAGAGGAAAGTTGTGAGTGGACCCTGGGAAGGGACATGTGTGCCCCATGTGAGACGGCCTGTGTCCTTCCAATGCCTGGTATCCCCAAGAGGGGCCCAGAGCTGGGCCCGCCCTGAGGAGCGAGGATGTAGTGCTGCCTGGAGGAGCTAACGCTGAGGTCTGGGGAAGTCACCACAGAGCTCCTGGTACCTGGATTTTGTACAAACACACACACAGAAAAGTAAACAGTTCATGGTGAGCTCAAAGAGGCCCACCCTTAAATCTAACAAGAAGCCAAAAGCCCCTGCACTGTTTTCCAAGGAAACACGTCTACTCCCTCCAACCAGCAACCACGTATGGAGAGGGAATGGGGGCAGTGGAAGGACACGGCTCAGATGGAGACACTGCAAACGTGTTTCCACGGCTGTCTACATTCATATCATCATCATCCAGTGTTCTCGCCTACAGAGTGACACAACATTCTACCAACACGCCTGAAGCACAGGCCAAGCTGAACGGAAGCCTTCCCAGGCACCAGAGCAGAAGGGAAAACTTGCACATGGTCGTAAAGGACTTCGTACTATTCCAGCCCCTCTACTGCCATCCAAGGGGCATCTTGACTCTTCCAAAATCAGATGTAAAAGACAAGGTCAGTAAAATCAGTATCCATGCCACCTGAAGCTATGATTAGCCGCTGTGCACGAACATGGCACTTTTAAAGAGGTTTTTTTCTAAGTAAAATGGCCCCCAAAGAGCCCAATTATTTTTTTAAGGGTTTCTTTTTAATTAAAAAAATGGGTAAAAATGGAAGATGTAAAATATGGGAAGAGGGGCAAGAGAGTTGCTGGGTTTGCATTTTAAGCTGTAAGGGGCTGGGGAGGGCACAACCAGGGAGAGAGGGCCCCTACCCTCTGGTCCCTGCCCTCACAGCTTGCTCTCCCCACTCAGGCTGCCCCGCCGGGGCACACAGGACAGAAGTTGTAAGTACAAGAGACCAAACTCAAGGCTTCTTTCTTGCGGCTGGGCGGGTGTTTACGTGTGCAAATGTAGTAAGCCACTCCCCACGGACATAAGGTGCCTGTCTGTGGATGCCATAGGCGTGCTCCCAAGTATTGCTCAGTCCCAAGGGTGCCCATCGCTCAGCCTCTGGTGACCCCGAATCTCTGGGCAGGCCACAGGCCTTCACTTCTCCACTTTCTTCGCTTTCTTGAGGATGTCGCATTTTTTCCTGTTGGGGCGGCGGCACCTCTCATCGATGCTGGGGATACATTCGTAGTGCCACACCTCCTCCATCTTCTCCACCGGGTAGACGGCTTCCACGTAGTGGCGGATGAGCCGCAGTCGCGTGGGGTCCAGCTGCTTCTTGTTGCAAGCCCCGGAATGGTTGTACTGCAGCCGGAGGTTCTCGGCGGTGAAGAGTTCGGGAAACAGGCGGACGAGGAGCCGGGCGGCAAAGTTGCCCACGGAGAGGCTCTGCTGCACGATCTCACGCACCTCCTTGTCAGACAGCAGGTAGGGAGAAGGCACCGGGAAGTCAGGCGAGGGGACCACCAGTTCGTCCAAGGGGATCTTGCAAAAGTCCTTGCTGCTCCTCTCGGGGGGTAGGGGGGGTCCCTCAAACTCCTCCCGGAACCTCTCCGGGTTGATTGCATAGCTGGTCAGGTCTCTGCACTCGGGGCCTGGCACGTGGACCTTGCGCTGCTGCTGGTAGGAGCGCCTCTGCTCCGTGTCCCGGCGCCGGCAGCGCTCATCCAGTTTGCCCACGAACTCCAGGGTCCAGACGCGGTCGTTTTTGGCGCGCGGGTAGAGCAGCTGCACGTAGTGGCGGATGAGCTTGATGCGGGACGGGTCCAGCTGCTTCTTGCCCAGGGAGCCGCTGCAGTTGTACTGCTTGCGCAGGTTCTCGTGCGTGAAGAGCTCGGGGAACAGGTGCACCAGCAGGCGCGAGGCGAAGTTGCCGATGGACAGGCTGCTCTCGTAGATGCTGCGCAGCTGCTCCTTGCTGAGCAGGCAGTCGGCGCCGGGCACCTCGAAGTCGGGCTGGGGGATCTCTAACTTGTCGAAGTCGATGGGCACCAGCCAGATCTTCTTGGAGCGGCGCCCCGGCCGCTCACCCTCGAAGCTGTCCTCCACCTTGACCACTGAGATGTCGTCGGGCAGACTGGAGGAGTCGTAGCAGTCATCGCGCGGGGCGTCACCTTCACTGCCCGCGTCCAGCCCTAGGCCCTCGAGCTCGTCGTTGATGCGCTGGGCGCACTGCTGCAGCCAGGCCTCCTCCTCCTGCATGTCGGGGAAGTAGATCTCCGTGTAGTTGCGGATGATCTGGAGCCGCTGGGGGTCCAGCTCCTGCTTTCCACCATCCCCGTAGCAGCTGTACTGTTCACCCAACTTGCGGTGGTCGAAAAGCTCGGGGAAGAGCCGGTGGAGGAGGAAGACGGCAAACTCGCCTGGTGAGGAGGCTTCATCCAGAAACTCAGTGAGGTCCTGCGTGTCCACCACGTGGTCTGAGGCGATGGTGCTGCTCCGGTCCAGAGACAGGGCCTCCTCCTGGTCTTTGTTGTCCAGGAAGTGGCCGGGGTCCACCTGCTCTGCCTCAAAGAAGCTGGCGACCTGGCCACTGGGCTGGCTGTCCTCCATTTCCCGCTGGGCCCAGAAGCGGCTGAAGAAGTCGTTCAGCTGGGGCAGGCACTCGGCCTGCCACACTGCCGTGTCCTTCACCGAGGGGTAGTAGACCTCCACGTAGTTGCGGATGAGCTGCAGGTGCAGCGACTCCAGCTTGCGCTTGGCCGCAAAGCCGCAGGCACTGCAGCCTCGGGAGAAGTCCACGTCGCTGAAGAGCTCGGGGAAGAGCTGCACCAGCAAGCGGCAGGCCAGGTCACCCCCGGACAGGCTCTGGTCCACGATCTGCTTGAGCTCCGCAGCTGTGAGCTGATACTCAGGGGGCGGCTGGAATTTGGCCACCATCTCAGTGGGGCTCACCTGCTTCTTGATGCGACTCACCTCCAGGGAGAGCAGGTCCACCTTGCTGTGCAGCTGGGACATGTTGGACGTGAGGGTGTTGAGCATGTAGAACATTTTCTGGATCAGGAAGTAGATGTTGGGGTCACTGTCAGTGCCTGCCCCAGTGCTGCCAGAGTCCCGCTTCTGTGGCTCATTCAGGAGCCGCAGCGACGAGGGGCTGTTGCTGGCGTTTGCCTTCTCGAAGAGCTCGTACACGTTTAGCAGGTCCCCGGAGGGAGGATTCTTCTTCTCCATGATCTTGTGCGAGATGCCATACAGAGGCTTCTTGTAGGAAGGGGTAGTGGCATCGTTGCAGGGCTCCTCCTCTCCTGGCCACACAGAGCCCAGGCTCCTGCCCCTGCTGGCCTGCTCGCCATTGCCTTGGCAGGGCGAGCTGTTCTCACGGTTCCGCATGCCTGCTAGGAGAGCCTGCAAAACAAAAATCATTTCCCAGAGTGTTAGGAGGGTGCTGTGGTTTATGACACTAAACAAGCGTCTGCGTGCCACACGGAGGGGCCAAGGTCAACCTTGGGAGCATGTGAGAAACTGATTCCTCACCCTGAATCACTCCGTCATCCAAGGATGCACTGATACAAACCTGCATCTCCACCACCCCAAACCCGCTGCTCTCCCTACTCCCCGAGAAAAGACTGGCTGGGCCCAGGGAGGCTTTATGCTCTTGCAGGACACCAGCACTGGACTTCCTGCCCATCAGAGGGCTGACACTGACGTTGGCAATACCGGGTAAGAACTCTGCAAGAAACAGGAGGGAGAGCACAGGAAGGCGACGGGCTTGTGCAGCTCCTGGCCACAGACAGGTCACCTCATGGACCCATGCCTTGGTCTGCTCTCAGGAAGGGACAGAGATTCCTACCTATGGTAGCTCCCAAAGGCAGCAGTGTGTCCTTTCAGCCTGCAGCCTTTGGGAGAGCAGGCATGCCTTCTCAGGAAGGCTCCTCTGAGATGCATGGTAGGGGCACATGAGAACTGCGCTGTGGAGAGCAGCTGTCTGATGCCAACTCCACCATTGCCTGAAATCACATCTTAGACCAGAAAAGGCCGGCCCAGAACTCTCTGGCCTATGCAACTGTGAGACAGTAGAAACAACCCCCCGTTTCTGAAAAATCAACAAGTATATAAACTGTGTTATATTCATACAATGGAATATTACTCAGCAATAAGATATTAATTATTGATACAGTACACAAAGTACTCATGATAAATCTCAAAATAAATCACAAAAAAAGAGGCCATAGTGTATGATTCAATTTGTGTATATACAATTCTAGAAAACACAGGCTTGCCTATAATGACAGAAGGCAGACAGTCATTGCCTAGGGATGGCAGGGAAAATTCGATGGGACACGGAGAATGACACAGAGAACGTCAGTGGGTTGACGGATGTTTATCATCATGACTGTGGCTATGGGTTCACTGGTAGACACGTGTCAAAACGTATCAAATTGTATACCTTAAATATGTATCATTCATTGTATTTCAGCCATAACCTAATAAGCCTGTTTTTGACAAATGTTGAATTTGGCCCAGACACTTATGGAAATGTATATTTGAGTTTTAGGAAAGCAGATGAGCTAGTCAGCGAGCACTGGTGGGTGTTGGGGGAGCAGGGAGCTTTTGCTCCCCGACAGGCATGTGCCTCGGGCAACTGGGAATGGACAAGAACACACGGCATCCTGGGGTGCTTCTCTCCACGCTTGGGAAGAGTACAGGTGGCTGGGACCGGCCTAGCCCAGCGCTTAAGCTCTAGTGTACACACTGAATCACCTGGGGTCTTGCTGGAATGCAGAGTGTGAACCCTGGGCCTGCATCTCTAACAAGTTCCTGGGTGCTGTGGCTGCTGTCCATCCTCTCTGAATAGCCAGGGCCTGGCAGTCAGTGTTTGCTCTCAGCTTATCTCATCTGGGCAGATAAGGGTTATTAGAAAGTTTTCAGGTCACTAATGCCAGCATAAAACAGGGCATGAGGTGTTTTTCTCTGCAGCCTGAACCAATGTAGGGTAAAGAGACAACCTCAAGAAGTGAGGCTTCATACAGCAAGTGAGCAATATGAGGCTGAGAATAGGTAGATACAGGGGGAATCGAAACCAGGACTCCAAATAAACAGAAAACTTTCATCCTTCTGAACCTTCCATGTGTTCTTTTTCATTTAATTAATGAACGGCTGGGCGTGGTGGCTCACGCCTGCAATCCCAGCACTTTGGGAGGCCCAGATGGGTGGATCTCCTGAGTGCAGAAGTTCTGCCAGCCTGGGCAACATGGTGAAACACTGTCTCTACTAAAAAAAATACAAGAAAATTAGCCAGGCGCGGTAGTGTGCACCTGTAGTCCCAGTTACTCGGGGGGCTGAAGTAGGAGGATAACCTGAGCCTGGGAGATGGAGGCTGTAGTGAGCTAAGATCTTGCCACTGCACCCCAGCGTGGGTGACAGAGTGAGACCCCATCTCAATAATAATTAATGAATTACTTCCTAGACTCTCTCTTTTGGATAATAGAATAATCTGACTCATATTAGAGAAATGTTAATTCTTCTCTTGTGCCTCCATGAGGACAACCGTGCAAAAGAAAAACTACTCCTTTAGTGACCTTATAAAGGGACTCGTAAGTACGTTAGTTATCACAGAGCTGGCCAATACTGCCTTCGGGGTTTGCGTGTGTGTATATATATGTATATATACACACACACACACACTCATATATATATATGAGCAAATGGTCAGTGGCAACGGGCCCTCGTGGGCCCCACTCCCCACCCCTCCCCTCTGCAGCACTCCCCAGGAGCAGAGGATCAAGGACATACCAGAGTGGAGGCAGCCTGTCAGGGGAGGCCTGCCACCTGCCCCACTCCCTCTGGGGTCTCCTTGCCGAGCTGTCCCCATCCCCATCAAACTGCATGATGGTTGTGGGATGGGACCATGTTGTTCCTGAGTCTATCCCCAGTGCCTGGCAAAGTGCCCAGGGTACAAAAGAGGTCAATGAATTTATGTCAACCACACATGTGGATAAAGCAGGGCAAAGTGTTCCACCATTCTCAAATACATGCTTAAGAAAAGTGAGGCCAGGTGCGGTGGCTCACATCTGTAATCCCAGTAGTCTGGGAGGCTGAGGCAGGGGATCTCAAGCCCAGGAGTTCAAGACCAGCCTGGGCAACATAGTGAAACCCCATTTCTACAAAAATAAGCTGGGAGTGGTGGTGTGTGCCTGTAGTCTCAGCTACTTGGGAGGCTAAGGTAGCAGGATTGCTTCAGCCTGGGAGGTTGAGGCTTCGTGAGCTGAGATCACGCCATTGCACTCCAGCCTGAGCAACAGAGCAAGACCCTGTCTCAGAAAGAAAAAAAAAAAGAGAAAAAAAAGGAAAAGGAAGCTGTTCTGATAAGAGCAGTGGCAGAGAGGTATGAAGGTACGGCTAAGAACTCAGCTCAATCAGCAAGCATCCTTTTTTTTTTTTTTTTTTTTTTTTTTTTTTTTTGAGACGGAGTCTCGCTCTGCCACCCAGGCTGGAGTGCAGTGGCGCGATCTCGGCTCACTACAAGCTCCGCCTCCCAGGTTCACGCCATTCTCCTGCCTCAGCCTCCGAGTAGCTGGGACTACAGGCGCCCGCCACCACGCCCGGCTAGTTTTTTGTATTTTTAGTAGAGACGGGGTTTCACCATGTTAGCCAGGATGGTCTTGATCTCCTGACCTCGTGATCCACCCGCCTCGGCCTCCCAAAGTGCTGGGATTACAGGCTTGAGCCACCGCGCCCGGCCTCAGCAAGCATCCTTGTTTGTAACCTTATAAGCCTCACCTTCCTGTGTATAACTCAGGGTAAATCATGGTACCTGTCCCACAGGGTGGTTGTGAAGATTTAACGAGACAGTGCACATACAGCACTGAGTCTGTCTGAATCACAGTAAGTGCTTAATATTTATGGCCAGGCGCGGTAGCTCATGCCTGTAATCCCAGCACTTTGGGAGGCCGAGGTGGTTGGATCACTTGAGGTCAGGAGTTTGAAACTAGCCTGGCCAACATGGCGGAACCCCATCTCAACTAAAAATACAAAATTAGTTGGGTGTGGTGGCAGTATTGGCCAGCTCTGTGATAACTAACGTACTTACGAGTCCCTTTATAAGGTCACTAAAGGAGTAGTTTTTCTTTTGCACGGTTGTCCTCATGGAGGCACAAGAGAAGAATTAACATTTCTCTAATATGAGTCAGATTATGACTATTACATGCCTGTAATCCTAGCTACTTGGGAGGCTGAGGCAGGAGAACTGCTTGAACCTGGGAGGTGGAGGTTGCAGTGAGCCGAGGTTGCAGTGAGCCAAGATGGTGCCACAGCACTCCAGCCTGGGCAACAGAGTGAGACTCTGTCTCAAAAATAAATAAATAAAAATTTATTATTACAAATTACATAATGCTATTCCCAAGCCATGGCAGAGGTAGTTCTGTAGGGGACTTTTATTAAGGGAGTTGTAATGATACTCTCAAATTACATAATGCTATTCCCAAGCCATGGCAGAGGTAGTTCTGTAGGGGACTTTTATTAAGGGAGTTGTAATGATACTCTCAACCCGTACACTGAGAAGGACTTTCCCACGGTGCCTCAGGGTAAGTCACGCATGGAAGGTACGTCTTAGAGTCTGTTTGTCCTAAAGGCTGGGAATTTAAGCCCTTTATGTTTCTTCTGTTCTGCTATCTGGCATTATTTGTTTAAAAAGAAAGAAAAGAAAACATATACACACACCAGAAAGGAAGGGGTGGAGATAACTGACACTCTTGACCCCAGTGCAGTGTTTCAAATTGTAGGTTAGCAGATGATAACTGATTCTGGTGGATCGTGACCAACATAAGAAGAGGGAGGGGCAGGGCGCGGTGGCTCACGCCTATAATCCCAGCACTTTGAGAGGCCGAGGCAAGCAGATCACGAGGTCAGGAGATTGAGACCATCCTGGCTAACGCAGTGAAACCCCATCTCTACTAAAAATACAAAAAATTAGCTGGGAGTGGTAGCACACGCCTGCAGTCCCAGCAACTCGGGAGGCTGAGGCAGGAGAATCGCTTGAACCTGGGAGGCAGAGATCGCAGTGAGCATGATGGCACCACTGCACTCCCGCCTGGGCGACAGAGCATCTCAAAAAAAAAAAAAGAAAAAAGAAAAGAAAAAAAGAAGCGGGACGGATTAGTCACTAGGAAGGCTTAGGTGGGAGGGCCACTTGAGTCTTGGAGGTGGAGGATGCACTGAGCTGTGATTGCACCACTGCACCACAGCTTGGGCAACAGAGTGAGACCCTGTCTCAAAAAAAAAAAAAAAAAAAAGGGAGGGAATGAGGAAATAAGAAAGCAAAAAGAATAGAAAAATATCAAAGTGTACTGCACAAAGTAAATCAATTTAGGAGTTTTGTTTCATTACTATGTGTATGTCTACATGTT